ATATATATATATAATATGATATATATTGTACATATAATACAACATATATATATATTACATACAATATATATATATATATAGAATAATACAATCAATATATATATATATATAATTAGTTAGCTAATTTGTTTAGTTTTTTAATTAGTTAAATATTTATCTAATTAATGAATTAATCAATCAATTAATTAATCAGTTAATTAGTTAGTTGATTAATTAACTAATTAACCATTAATCAACTAATTAGTACACACACACATATATATATACATATACACATATGACTTGCAACTCCAGCGCCTTTCGTCGCAGCTGTTGCAAGCACTGCATAGCAAAATTATCGGCGAGCTCGTTGCAGATTCCGAGGCCCTGTTTGCGATTCTTCTGATGCTGGGCTTGCTTGGTGTGGCGACAGCCTCACAGGAGCAGGCCAGGCTACATTGACACCGATGCAGAGTACGAGCAGTCAGTCTCGTCATGTGCGGCAGCGATGCTTAGCGTCTTAGCGAAATCATGGGGAACCATGCGAGGTCGCCAGCTTGATCGGAGGCTTGAATATGCAGGGAGACGAGGCATCGGTGCTTGCTGTTAGGGCTAGGCCATGCCCTTGTAATCCGCTCGACACTATGACAACAGTATATGTGACCGGAGCGTGCAATGGCTAACGCAGGCCGTGCGACGATTCCAACAAGGTGCAGCAGGTGTTCTCATCGTCAGCTTCATCTGGCTGTATTTCTTCCATGTGAGGGGCTTGCGGGTTACGAGAAGTACACTGAGCTGTTGCACATGGCTGAATGCCATTCCTTGGCGTTCAGGTTGCCATCTACCACAACACGATAGCGCCGCAAACGCAGTGACTGCTTCGACTTTCAACCTCCTGTCAAAAATTGCGCTGGAGGCTGACAGTGTCCAGATGGTATTTCCGAGGAGATCTGCAGGAGCGGAGACGAGATGCTCTAGTGCAGGCATGTGCAGGCCCTCTCGCCCAGTAGGCTGAAAAACGCTCGAAGTTTTTTGCCATGATGTCGTTATGAACGGGTGCAGGAGCATCACATGTGCCCTTCCCTTGGAGGCTGCCAGGGAGCTCAGACAGGGTCAGACTCTGGCAGCCATATGCAGCCATTGTGAGCCTACTGTGCTTGTACCAAGCTGCTCGTGGTTTGTCTTGCTAGGCTTGGGTGGCCCGGTTGCCATCTCGCTTTTGCAGGAAAGGCATGTACATCGAAGCAAGCTTCCCTTTAACTGGTATCGCCTTTCAGGCTTCTTATTGCCTAGCCAGGCCTTCCGATATCATGTTGGCTCACTGGCCTTCGGTGCACTTGCCCTGACTGTGCGGCCCTGAATGCCCTCAGCGATCGATGAGTGTACGCCTGGCCATCTTTGTAGCGCCGTGGCGTAAGTGCGGCTCTTCTGCTCCTGAGTTGCCCCTAGGCTTGTACCGTGCCGCGACTGGTGCGGGAAGCACAGTCGCATGCAGTCATGCAGCAGTCATGCAGCCGGCAGGTTTGCATAACTCAAGTCGTGCAGTCATCAGGCTTGAGTACGTGGAGAAGCATGCCAAAGAAACCGGCGAACAAAATGCTCGTGCCCAAGATGGTGAAGTCACAAGACACATAGTTCAGGTGACAAGTTGCGATGCCTCCTTGGATCTCCCAGTTCTCCCAGTGTGCAAGCACGTAGCACCCAGGCTGATGGCTCGGATGACGGGCAAGGGTCTAGGGCCAGGGAAAGAGTCTGAGGACGTGACGGCACTCGTATACGCCTGTTCGCCTCGCAATGCGACACCGTCGCCGAACCAAAGAGATTCGGGAAAGCGATAGGGATGTTTCAAGAGGTCTAGGAGTCCAAGCCAGCCTCCGAGCGAAATCAAGCGCTTGGAGTCACATTGTTGTGCGAATTCTGAACATGTGGAGGATCGGCAGGCAGCGCATGGGCCATCTTCGCTAGAGAGACACCAAGCCCCCCGCAAGACAATTGGATCACATGTGCTGCGTTTTGTCCTTATGAAGCAAGCGAAGGGTGCAACCCGAATCTTCTTTTCAGCGTCTGGGCTTCTCAAACCTGCCCGGCATTCCTTGAACTCATTCGAACCCTGCCTTTGTTGCCGCAAAGGCACCAACAACAACACTCAAACGAGAGTATCGAAGGGGACACCGGAAAACCAGGCTTTGGCCGCAGCTGTGCGCTGTGCGACGAGGCCAGGGCCTGGAGTTTTGCCTCCGCACATCTCTGCACATTACCTCTTCTCGCATGTCGCTTGTCCGCAGGTGTTGTTTAAGCTGGCTTCACTGCTGTCGCGCGCCCATCCACGCTTCATGTAAAGTGTGACTTGGAGCTGTATGGACCAGTAGAACTTCGAGGCTTGCAGTTTGTGACGGAGTACGCCTACATGTACGTGGCCATCATAGGACCAGTTAGTCACTTCTCAGAAACGCAGGTTTCTCTTAACTCGTCCGGCGTTTTCTTGAACTAGGAGAGCCTTTCTGCCCCTCAACATGCAAGTCGTGGGGTGCCAAGAGCAGTTTGATGATTCAAAGATCAGCCGATACAGGCCGCACGGCTTCGACTGAGTAGGAAAGCCGCCCTGGTGCACTTTGGTGCTCGAAGGTTTCAACTCTTCACCAAGTACCCTGCGCAGGCACAGAAGCTTGCGATCATCGCAGAATCATGATTTCTGGATAGCTGCCATGCCCATCTGTAACAGATGAGCATGTGCTCGAGCAGTAACCTTAATGTACGTCTGGATCCGTCGGTTTTGCTTGATTGTGTCGGCTTCTATGAGGAGCATGAAAGGTCCACATGAATTGTGCACAAGTGGGTGAGTGTGCTATTTCTTGCCAAGCAGCTCAAGCGGCTTGGAGACCCGCGGGTCGTGACCCTCGTAGAGCAAGTCATTCATGTCCAGCAGGTCGCTCTTAACACTCTAACATCGGTGGTGCCAGAGTCCGAGCATTCTTTGACAGATTCGAAACTGTCTGCTGTGCACGTAGATGCTTTTTAGTCTGATTCCTCATGCGATGTCAAGGCTCGGCTTTCTGGTGTGCATCGGCGTGCCGTTTGCACTCGTGCCCGAAAGCAAATTTGCAGTTTGCATCAGACACGGCGAATCAAGGGCAAGGATGGTGAGAAGATTCTGAACTACACTGGCAGGTACTCGCCGCTTTCTTCGAGCTGCGAGACAGTTGGGTCAACTTTCAGTTCCGTGCTTAGGGTAGCAGCAGAGCAACTGTTCTTCCTGACTCAGCCAACTTGTCATTTGCGGCCGAGGCCTGTCGCAGTCTGCGTGATCATCCTTGCGTACATCATATCTCGCATGTCAGTCCGAGACCCAGAAGCTAGCCAAACCTGTTCCCAACCAGCGATTGCGGGCATGTGAGTGCAATTGGCAGCTCAGTGCCTGCGCCCGGAAGCCGATACAGAAATGGGGACTAGGATGCACCCGAAGCCGTGCCCGTTTTCCTGTTTCTACTTTCGCAGACGGGCGTAAACCATACGCATTCGTGTCGATCCTGAATTGGCGCTCAACATCGGTGCAACCGTCTGCCTCATTAACAGATGCTGGCAGGCTTAATCGCAGTTCGGTCGGTTTGCAGGTCGGAGTTTACGATGCGATACTGACGACTCTTTTCATCTGCGCGATGAGGGACGAGGCTCCTGGTAGTGCTGCTTATTCTGCGCGTTTCGGAAGCGAGTTGGAGATCGGAGTGCACGGAGGAGTACTGTGGCGGACAACACATGGGCCCCGAGCTTCGACAAGCGCCGTCAGCTGAGAAGGGCGATGGACCGCAATCCTTTCCCAGCCTTGATGGGACTTTTACTGTCCATGTTCACGGACAAGGTTGTGGTTGATGTTTATTGGAAGGATGTTTGATCCAGTACCGTGGTACAAACTTGGCACCCAAGGGAGCACATGTCAATTGAATGTGGGATGTTGCATTAACCATTCACGGGACATGTTTGGGTGAGTGGGGGGCTTTCAGAGACGATCACTACGAAGGCCTTTATTTGGCCCGAGGTCTATTGCCAGCGACCCGACTGCTTGCTGAACAGATTCTTTAGAAAAGCAGCTGGAGGTCCCAACCTGGAACTTGAGGGAAGCCCACTGCAATGAGGATCGAAACATATCGGAACAAATGTTTAAAGCAAGCCCCAAAGTGTTAACCTGCTCCAACTTCATCCGTGACAGGCCACACGTGGAAGGAGAAAGCTCCAACATTCGGACGTCGCATGTCCATAAAGCCACGTTCTTTGTCGCATGGATGTTGAAAGGAACGTGCGCATCGACACGAAGATGGGCAAGAGGCGTGTAGCTAGTACTCGTACCGTCCGCGACAGTGCAACGGATGTGCAGTCATTGCAGCTCTAGGTTGAAGTAGGCTCAATAGCATAAAAACCGCCAAGACCTTTCTCGGATGAAGCTGTTCACCCTCTACTTGCAAAGGTCCCAAGGCGTCCGACTAAACGACGAAATGATTTTGTCACTAAGGCTTCAGCTGCGAGGTGGGTCGCGCGAGGTTGAGGCCTCAGCCCACGGCAGACTTTAGAGATCGCTAGGGGTGAGAGTTGTGAGAGATGTTGCGAGACTGCGGTGCGTCGGATTCCACACCTGACCCATGAGGTGGAGTTCTCATGATCATCCGCTTCAACAGCGCAGCGCAACCCTTTGTTAATGCAGGACAGAATCAGAACAGACCGCCACTAGCATCAGGCGGTGGTAGTCTCAGCAGGTCTTAGCAATCTCGCTGACGCTGCTTGGGCACAGCCGTGGAAAGAGGAAGCCGCTCTGACTACGCTCTCATGTTGCCTTCTGTGCTGGTGAAATGCACTGAGAGAGTGGCCAAAGATGGCGAAGCTGTGAGGCGGTCAGATGCTTTGAAAGGGCTTGGTGCCAAGAGTTGTGTGTCCTTGGCTTCTGACAAGTCTATGTGTAATGGTCACCGCGAGGCCATTCAACTAAATCCGAAGCATGCTTATGTCAAGCGCTGAGAACCGTGGCTGGGTTCGATACTCCCACTTGCATTACTTGCAGCTTAGGCGCGTACCTTGCTCGGGCATGAGCTTGTAGCCCTGGAGAAGTATGACAAGGCACATGCCTGCTGGCGAGGGTTTCTGTTCTGCACTTCGCGCTGTTGTTCCGGGAGGCCATCCAGCAATACCGCAGTGCCATCGATGTGGATCCACGACACTATGGTGCATGGTGGGGCCTTGGAAGGGTCTGTCAGTGCCAGGACTGCGATTGCATACTGTATGGATGATGTCAACCCCAGGTGCATCTTTCTTTTGCCAGGAAGACTTAGTACAGGCCAAGTACAACTTTCTGCGAGCTGTGAACCTGCCGCAGTTGGGAAGCTGACATCAGTGAGCCCGTGTCTTCGCGCTGAGTTGTGGAAGGGTACGTGTGGACAATGCGAGCCTTGGTATCCCTTCTTTGATATGCATGCACTGTAGTTCGGCGCTTGATGGAATGAGAGGCTGCGGTGTAGCTGCCTATGGTAGGAAAGAGCCCCCGAAATTGGATTCTGTCTGGCCTCCCACTGTAGGTCTCATGAGACAATGCTTTGCCACTGCAGACAAGGCATCAAGAGCCGTGCCATTTCTCGGCAACCCCTTTTTTTCCGAAGGTATGCAAATGCCGAACAAGGCGCCAGCAAAGTTCGAACAACGCCCCATCGACACTTCAGCGTCACAGTTCGCGGCTGCTTCCTCGCATGCATCAAGGGCTGATCGCAATGTTCCAGCGACCAGAGAGAACCAGAGAGACGAACAAGTCCAAGGCCATCGCTAGAGGCCCTACTAGTAGCGCTGACAGCACATGAGCAAAACGGGGAAGCTCGTGGAATCAACAATGAGTCGGAGTCGGCCACCCGCAGGGCTTCTGGGGGTACCATCTACTGTCATCTACTTATATCTACTCCGAATTTTCGATGTCCTTGATGCAGTTTTTCGATCTTGGAGCTGTTGTGCGGCACAGGTGCCAACATGCAGTGCAATTCGGCCAGGTGGAGATCAATGGTTCCAACCAGGTCTTGCGAACTTCCCTCGGCATGGTGCTGCAGGCAGTACTGTTCTGCATGCAAAATCATGCAAATCCTGTCGTAACGCTAGTCCACTGTTCCTAAGTGCAGGGTAGGAGGGTCAGGTTGCTGGGCTCGAGCGGTTCCGCACCATCCAGGGAGGCTTTATAGTGTAAAATCACAACCTTTTGGCATGCTTCCGGGCTCTGTGCTGAAGTCGCCCGCTCGCCGCAGCACGCACGTGTAGCCTGCCAAGTGGACCTAACCCCCGCCGGCTCAGACGCGAGACACAGAAAGGATCGCCAAAAGCCCGGGAGGACCCAAGCTTCAGACACCACAGCTGACTACACCGCCGTAGACGGTGTGTGACTTTCATCATGTTGCCCAAACTCCGCGAAGGCAAAGAATGAGAGGGGGTTGGCAGGGCGGGGCTGAGGACCATGGCGCGGAGCCCCGTGTGCAGGTCCACATCTGCAGGGACATAAGCAGAGGCGCATATAGAGGCGCCAGGCCCCCCCATGGGGTGCCCTTCCTCCAGTTCGGAAGCGAAAGACGGCCCCGGAGCCATGGTTGAGAGCTCGTGATCAATCTCCGCCTGATCCGCCTGGGTGCAGGGACCCTCGGAAGCAGAAAGTCTTTGGACTGGCCTGCTCCCCGCATGCGCTGCGCTGTGCGTGTTTCGGGTTGCGAATTGTGCCCTCGCCACACGGCTCCCATTTGGAACTTGGTTCTTGAAAGTACTGCCCAGTGCATGCATCGTGGGCTAGTTTTGGAATGATGAGGGGATGTGGCTCCGGTCTAGTCCTCGAATGGTCTTCCAGTGGCGTGCCGTGTGGTGTTTCACGGTGCGAGAGGTCTTCAAGCCTGTTTGCACGACGTTCTCGATTTTCCTGCGAGCAGCAGGCCTTAGGGGAGCCCCAGCGGGCTTTGCAACTTGTCAATCGCGCGGCCGGGATCCCAGTCCAGTCGGTCAACATACTGCAGCATCTGCAGCGATGCCAAGGCCGAGAGCAGCCATTGCCGAGCTTTGGCATTGTTTCAAAAGGCTGCTTATGGATGTCGCAATTGCTAGCCTCTGCTCGCGCTGCTTATGTGAGGCATGCATCCTGTCCTCGCAAAAGCAGCACTTGAAGGCAGCAGTCGCAGTCGAAGTGTCGTCTCTCCGTACGCTTAAACTGCCCATGCACTCAGGCTGCGGATGAGCTCGTTCAAGCCAAACGCCAGGATCCGAGAATCATGTGACCTTCGCCTGGAGATGCCTGGCCCTGGCCGTAGACCTGCTTCAGGCTTGGCTCCACGCGAACCTTGCATCCATGTGCAGATGGGGAGAGTGCAGTTAGGCCAGCGGCCGGTGAAATCGATGCAGAGCTCAGCTCCTCGGTTCCTCGCAAAGGCCTTGGAAATGTTCGCGAAGCTCTACAGCATTTCACGCATGCCCCTTTGCAGGATTTTGCAGGCATAGCTGGAGGTTTTGCAGTTGCGACTGTTCCTGCTGCATGACGTAGAACTCCTCTGGCCGTCAGATCTGAGGCAATGGACTTATGCGCTGCATCAGGAGACCGTCAGCTTATTGCAGCAGCGGAGGAGAGCAGATGGAATAACTGTAACAGCCGCAGATACCGAAGACCGTGGTGCCTTGCCGTCGTTCGAGTGACAAACTGGCTGCTTTCTCTAGGAAGAGCTTCGCAATGCAATGCCTGATGAAGCAAGATCAGCGAGATCGTTGACATCGGCTTTGTCAGATGCAGGCATGGTGTGAATTGCACTGTAGCAGCACAGTGCCGCACCCTCCCCCCCTTCCCGCCCGCCCAATGACCCCTCGAGGATGGCCGTTTACAGCATGGGGCATGGGGGGCTGTCTGCATCTGTCTGCTCAAGCGACTCTTCGTTTCATTTCAACTCTTCTTCGTTATGCTCAGTGTGCAGGGCAATGGAGAGACTTCCACTGTCCGAGGATTTAGCTCCTTGTACTCCGGGGACATTTCGCACCTTGTCATCTACTGAAAATGAACAGCATCTGGTCAACACAATTGCAATTATTGCTTTCATGTATTTTCCAAAAGCCGCCGCGACTCAAAAAGCCTTCAACAGACAAAACGAGGCTGCCCGCACGACATGTAAGTTTCTGGGACAGCAAGGCAGGCAGGGTCTAGTTTCCAGCCAGACTAGCAATCCCAAACGGTAAACTCCGAGAGCCCTCAGCGCAAGACTGAGATACATTGACAGAGTCGACGTGTTTTTGTTTTTTCCCTGCTGATATTGTGCTGTTGTCAGTGGCAGTCTTGCTGCTGCCGCTGATGATGGGTGAAGATGGCGATGCTGATGTTGGTAAAGTTCACAATGATGCTGTTAATCCACGGTAAGATGGTGCACTTTCGGATGCTGTACTCGGCATGAGAGCCCAGCCAGTCCAAGGTGCGATGGCGTTCGCCAGTCCCAGTCGGATCACTGAGCTGCTTGTCGTTTTGTTTTGGGCTCTTGACGTTGATGGTGATGCTGCTCGCTCCTGCCCCACAGCCCTCTATCCTCCCCAACCACCGTGATGACTATTTGCTGAATGTGGACGTCTGAGCACGATGTTGATGATGATCGTGACGCTGGTAACGACGATGGGTATCATGATGATGATCGTGCTGAAAGTGTTGTTGATGATGTTGCTGATGCATACGACGATAGTGTTGTAGGCTGTTGCTCGCTTGAGCTGCTGCAAGAAGGTGGTGCTGCCTGTGGTGATGAAGATGATGTTGATGATGATTGTCACGTGATTGTGATTCTGCGATGCTGAATGATGACCCGTTCCTGTTCCTCCTTCCCTCCTGCAGGATGCTGGGCATAGGTGATTGCATGCATTTTAACAATGACGATGAAGATATCACTGATGGTGATGGCATGTGATGATGGCGATGAGGCTGGCTCATGATGCCCTTGTTGTTGATATGCTGATGAAAGCATAGAGCCTCATAGCTTTCCCTGGCCAAAACCTGTCCGTCAAGTTTCGAAGTCGCAACATGCGCACAGCCCACGGTCGAAACGCTGGCCGAAGCTGAGAGGAGAGCAGGAACGAGCTGAATACCTTGGAATCTAGTAGTCGGTAGATTCGAAACGAGGCAGCAGATGACAGCAGACCAGGGTTGACATTTTCAGCGAAGGGGAGACGAAACTGCAGGAGATAGCATCTATCAGACATACCAGACACGTCATGCACCCCAAGACTCTGCCACTATCACAGAACACAGATTTCTTCTGCTTCGCATCTCCGTCATGCCAGCGTCTGTTGCAGCTTCTTATCAGGCATGGACAAGAGAGCGATCAGAGCGCCAGAATGGCAACAGACCACGAAGCAGAATTCTACAGAATCCTCGGACCTCGAGGCGAATGATGTCTACGTCGCTGCTTGAGCCGCGGGACTTGGCGGCGTCGGGGCACAGTGTGTGCAACTCGAAGGTGACATGTCGCAGCCGCCGCTGTGCCTAGTTTTTTGGCATCGCCCTGGGCATGGAACAGATCATGTCGTCATGAGCTGTGAAGATGAGTTTGAGTTGCGCCATACCGTCGCAATTGACCCTGTTCTTGTTCCCGGGGCCGTGGAATTGCACGAATCTTTCATCAGACGTTGCACAAAGAAAATGCACCGTGGAATGCAGCGAGCTGGAATCGCATTGTTAGTGTTTCCGTGCTCCATGCATGGTTCATCCTTGCACAAAAAAAGGCGTGACCTCTGTGTAGGGGCTGCATGCACATCGCAGCTGCTAGCTGAGACATGCTGGGAATGCAGTTTCATTGTTGGGAGTCACGTGCTGGCATCGAATAACCAGGCGAGGACATCCCGACACATTCGGCTATGGAGAGTAAACAGCTAGAGGCATACTCTTAGCACTTCACCGGCAATGTAACGCCCAGAAAACACACGCACAGTGGCACAGACTGTCTCTTCAAAGTTCCGTCCCTCCCCCTCCCCTCCCTCCGTCACTTTCTGCCCTGTCCCGCTCGAAAGCAGGAATCCCCAACAGCAAAGGCATGCGTCGCGCAGTTGCCTATTCAAAAACAAGATCTCGCATGTCCGAAAGCTTACAAATGATCCTGGAACAAGGGATCGTTCCCGCAGGACTTGATGCGTGTTCGTGTGTGCCGTTTGGTCGTTCCATTTTTTGTGATTGAGGCAAACGAGTGCAGTACGTTGCTTTGCCATCTGCATCGCTTGATTTTCGTGCTGCTACTTTGGTTCAGAAGCCATTGGGCCAGCCGCGGAGACGATTGTACAGGCCTATGCTACAGGGCAGTGTGTCAGCCCATCATGGATCGCAGTGTTTCGTCGATGCAGGCAGGCATCGGTGCCATGGCTTTTCTTGGGCACCTTAGCTGGAGACAAGGGCGCTGCACGGTCTGCACGGCTGCTGCCGCTTTCACTTCGGGGCTCGATTGGCTTGTCCAGAGCCAAGGCTCGAAAGGGATCAGCGCTCGGATCGATCCTCCTTGGATCCAGGCTTGTACCCCGTTAGATAGCGAATCTGCCTCCGGCATCTGCGCTCAGTGAGGTGTGACGGCTGAGCAGATGCACAGCTTGATGGATCTTCTGGGCGTGGCCAAGGAGGAGAATGTCAACAAACATGCAGAGAATATCAAGTCAGCCATGAAACATTCCGCACCTCTGAAGCTGCACTTTCCTTGAGGAGGAGCAGGATGAAAACAGCGTGGGGCTTGTTCACCGAAGAACCGAGTTCTGAAGCTGGTGAGGCTTCAGGTGGCTTCCACCCTTTGGGAGCTGAGGCAAACCACCCTCCGTGAATCCAGCTGCCCGGACAGGCGGCAAGCCCAGCCAGGCGAAACGGTAGGAGGGCACAGCGGCATGTCACGGCTCGTTGATGCAAGGCGTCACTTCGATACATGCCCAGCCTGCGCTTGTTTTATATGAAGCTACTATCCGGCGAAACTAGGCGGCTCACTCTTACGCCCGGGTCTGACAGGCTCCTCCGAACATGAAGGTCGCTGTCAGGGAGCCCAAGAAGAAGGCCAGGACGGGCTGCACATGTCTTGAACTGCCTTAAATCTTCCTCGAAGGACAAGCAGGCCATTTGGCTGCCAGAGGAGTTCAAGGCTGGCAGACCGTGCTGTTGGAAACCAAGCGGTACCTCTTCCTCTGCAATATACAACACGGCGCAAGCAATCTAGCCGTTCCTGCGATTGGCAGATGCACTGTACGACTTGCCACTTCAAAGTGGAGTTTTCAGATACTGCTGAGCCAGCAACACAGTCTCGAAGCAAGCCGCGGTCTCGATGCCGCTAATGTGCGAAAAGCAGTATGAATGAAGCTACCAGGTTGCAGGAAAGTGATTCTTACAGTGCTGTCAAGTTGACATCAGGCAGCATCCGGCGTCGTCGTCAAAAATGATGGAGACGACCGTGCCATTCCAAGATACGAGGTATCTCGGCCTGTATGAAGAGAGATGTCACCGCATCCGAGCATTGGTTTCTTTTCAGTCTGAACATTTCGATTCACTGATCCTGTGGGGTCATGTCCTCTTGGCACTTTGGCTTTGGAGTCTTGGAGCCCTTTCTCCAAGCATCACTCTTTCGGCTTTACTACCTGCCTGTCTTGTGATTGACTGTCGCTTGCACGCCTTCGGACGCTGCTCTAAAGAGTTGACACGTCGAAAAGTCGACATGTTTCAGACTTTTCTGCCTTTCGTGTTTCGTGCGATTTTTAGTTTTTCATGATGTTAGACTTTTCGCGTTTTTCCTGCTTTTCACCTCACAGCGAGAGTGCAGCACAGCTTGAGACCAAAGCTGCCCAAACGAAACGTAGGGATATCGGGGAGTCCTGAAAAGTGATCTCCATCTCATGCGTTGCTTCCGACATGTGACATGTATGTGATGCAAAACGCAAGCTCCGGGTTCCCTGCCCCTCTCGTCGTCCATGAAGCGGAATGCGGTCGCGCATTTCAGACATGTACCGTCACCAACAGTCCTTCATTTTTGCTTGGTCTTGCTCGGCAAGGGGGAGATCTTGTCAGTCTCCTTTCCGTGGCGGACGCAATTTTTTAGAACAGATGCACGTGCATGGAAGAGCTCACGGATGGAGATTATAAGATTCCACGTGCACGTGAACATGTCATCACACTTCCCTGGTCGAAAGTCTCTGTAAGGAGTGAATGGATTGTCCTGAGATTTTTGTTGATGCGAATCCGAAATTTGGGAAACAGAAGCCGCCGGTTGCCGAGCGAAGCAGCTGGCAACTCATGCAAATTGTGCAATGTTTTACATCGTCAGTCTGTAGCTGGAGACATCAAACCCAGGTCAGGCTCTTTACCCAATCCATGTACTTCGGTTTTCCTTATCACGAAAGCTCTCTCCAGAGAGCCTTTCGTTTTTTTTCTAGAACTTGTTCTGCCCTTCGGCAAGGCAACCCCCCCCCCCCCCCCCCCCC